TTGCCAATCTGGCAGGTGAAAAATAATTAGTCAGAGTTGGTTTCGTTTGCATTTCTCTTACTATATGAGTGAGGCTGAGCATATTTTCATATGTTTTATTTCTTTTCCTGTAAACTGTTTCTGGTTTTCTCATTTTTCTATTTGATGGTTAGTCTTCTTTTCCTGGTTTCTAGGAGCTCTTTCTATAGTGAGGAGATTGATTGTTTGCCCAAGATAAGAGTTATTTTTCTCAGTTTCTTTTGACTTCGCTTATGGCGGTTTTTTGTTTTATTTGAAGTCATGCAGACTTTTTTTACTTTATGTAGCTAACTTTATCAGGTTTTTTTCTGTGTGGCTTATGTATTTGGAATTATAGTTAGAAGTTTTTCCTTAGATGTTTTTAAATAAATGCAGAATACATTGAGTATACCTCTTATGTTTTCTCCTAGGCTCACCATAATTTTGAAGTCTTTTATGCTTTTTCTCATGTTTTATTTGAATGTTTGCTTTTAATTTTAGAGATGAGCTTACTGATGCCTTTAACAAATAAACAGCCTTCTGAAAACTTGTATTTCTGTGAAGCAGTGTAGGAAGATAGCTCTTGTAGATTTCTCTGAACATCTTGAATTCACCTTCCAGAAGAATGTGTGGAACTATTTAAACATATCCAGAGAGTTTTTGTTTTGTTTTGTTTTGTTTTTTTTTGCGATACGTGGACCTATCACTTGTTGTGGCCTCTCCCGTTGCAGAGCACAGGCTTCCGGATGTGCAGGCTCAGTGGCCATGGCTCACGGGCCCAGCTGCTCCGCGGCATGTGGGATCTTCCCAGACCGGGGCACGAACTCGTGTCCCCTGCATCGGCAGGCGGACTCTCAACCACTGCACCACCAGGGAAGCCCCAGAGATATTTTTGTAATCCTAATTTTGGAACTGGAATAAGAGAACAGGGTGCAGGACTGTTTGGTGTGTAGTTGCTTGGGATGACTGACTCCATAAATAGTCTCATTTAACATTGCCTTTGAAGGACTAGCCTAGCACTGTTCTGACAAGGCCAAGTTGGTCATATTCAGGGAAACGCCTTGGACTTTTGGTGTAAATATGAACTTTTGTTTCTCTTAGTGGAATTCTTTCATATGAAATTTAAATGCTAGTATTCCAAAACTTGATAAAATTAAAATGTTTTATTTTACAAACTGAATTGAGCCATTTCTAGAATTAAGCTAACAAATTATTATACATTTACTATGAGGATTAAAGGCTGCCTCGTGACTTATTCTGATGGGTGCTTTGCACAGAGTAGGCCCTGCTTTACCTGACATTCTGGACTCATGCTGGACTGGCTCAGACTGGTCAGAAAGGGTGTGCCTGCACCATATACTTAGCAACTGAAGACAGTTTGCCTGTGCTTCCAGCACTTGTGTATGGACCTTCCATATTCTGCCCTGCCAAACTTGATGCTGCCTTTGACCATTATTTGGCTAGGATTGTTTTGGAAGAAATGATGTCCACTGATGCAAAAATATAGTCTAAGCTATCTAACAAAAATTCTGTTACTGGCTATCCTGATATGAGCAGTCATTTTATGGTTTGTATCTAGCCAATCACATGATTCCTGTTCAGCTTTGCAAACTATTTTTTTATTTAAGGCTGTGTTCCATTTATGTGATATAGGGAGTAAGCAGCGCACAGCTTTAATGTGGATGGCACAGAGAAAGTCTTTGAAATGTTTTGAAATAATATGTGAATATTATCAAATATATCCTCTTTTGCAGTTAATGGACAGATTCTCGTTTGGGCTGGAGTTTATGTGAAACATCTTTAGGTTCATGGAAATATAGCGTGGAGTTATTTCAAAGCTAGAAGTAACGTACAAGCTAAGAGCAATATTTTCTTTTTATGTATTACCTGCATAATTGAATTGCTTATTGGGGGAAGGGCAGGTTGGTGTTTGTTGTCAAAGATTACATTATGGAAGATAAGCTCGTTTGGGAACGTCTAGCTTGCAGTCTCTCAGATGGAGCATCCTCATTCAGACCAGCCTATGGGCCTCTTCAGAGGGTCTACCAGATAGCTTTTAAAGGCAAGTAAAATGTTCTTGCTGAGTGATTGTTACCTGGATTTCTGGAACAAAATAGAACCTTGTTAGGAGTATTATTGGTCTTTTAGCTGAGAGGGTCACTCCTAGCTGAGAGGATTGGGGCTTTTTCATTTAGTAGCAGGGGTCTGGTTTTGAGGGCAGCTTATAGCTTTCTAGACTTGTAGCATTATTAGGTAATGTCTCTGGCAGCCTCTCGCATGCATACACCACACTTACATTCTTTGTGCCTCCTGTTGTTTTCACATCTGCATTTTTCTCCTGTTATTTTTGCATGTTCCATTTTTAAAAAAATTTTGGGGGGTGGGAATGAAGGCTGTCTGTAGAAGTTGAGGTTCCAGATACAAGGTCCATCCTGTATCTTCCTTTTTGCTCAGCATTAACTTACTTGTTTCAGAATATTTGGTGAATGCTACTGTGATGATACTAGTGTAAGACTCTCAGCAGGCTTTGGCCAGATACTGTGTTAACAATAGAGGTGTTTAAAAGCAGTATTAAGGCGGATCTGTTTAGGGCTCTTTAGGCTGTCTAAAGCTAGTTTGTGCTAAGTTTTCCTCCAAATGCTCAGCCTAGAGAAGAACCCTGCAGAGACCCTTTGGTGTGTTCTCTTCCTGCCGGTCCTTAAGACTCCTCACCCAGCTCAGCAGGAGGTTTCTGTCCTGGTCTTGAGTGTAACCAGAGAAAGAAAGTGGGAAACTTTGGTAATCTGGAGGATTACACAAAAGCATGAAATAATTACTTGGGCTGCATTTTAATCCATCTGTAGAGGCTGTTTATGGATTATTCACTTATTAATTCAGCAGATATTTTGTATTTTCTATTATGTGCTAGATGCTGCTCTAGGTACTGGGTGAGCAAGACAGGCAGAGTTCCTGTTTTTATGGAGCTTATGCTCTGCTGTTGGGAGTTAAGTAACAAACGTGTAAACAGATTATTTCAAGTAATAATAAGTGCTAGGCAGAAAATGAAACAGATTATGGGATACAGAGTGAGTGACCAAGGCATGCATGAGGGGCTGTTCCAGCTAACTTGGTGATGTAATGCCCCTAAGGAGGAGAATTCCAGCTAAACGTAAGGAGATAGCCATGTGGCTAACTCAGGGGAAGAGTGTTGCAGGCAGAGAAAGTAGTAAGTGCAGAAGTGCTAACATGTCCAAGGGACAGAAAGAGAGCCAGAGTGGCTGAAGTATAATGAACAGGGGTAGAAAATGAGCTTGAAGAGGTAGGCAGGAGCCATATCTCACAGGACTGGGAAAATGATTTTTTATATATATAAATTTATTTTATTTATTTATTTATTTCTGCCTGCATTGGGTCTTCGTTACTGCGTGTGGGCTTTCTCTAGTTGCGGCCAGCGGGGGCTACTCTTCGTTGAGGTGCGTGGGCTTCTCCTTGCAGTGGCTTCTCTTGTTGCGGAACACGGGCTCTAGGTACGCGGGCTTCAGTAGTTGTGTCTCACAGGCTCTAGAGCGCAGGCTCAGTAGTTGTGGCGCACGGGCTTAGCTGCTCCGCGGCATGGGGGATCTTCCCGGACCAGGGCTCGAACCCGTGTCCCTTGCATTGGCAGGCGGATTCTTAACCACTGCGCCACCAGGGAAGCCCTGGGAAAATGCATTTGAATTGATTTTCTTTAACTGTGATGGAAAGCCACTGAAGGGCTTTAATCAGGGGCATGAAATAATCTTATGTATGCTTTTACATAAGATTGCTCTGGCTCTTGTCTGGACTAATACTAAGACTCTTGCAGTGGTGTAGGGGAGAGATGATAGTGGTTTGGATTGGGATTGTAGCCATGGGGCTGAGGAGTGGTTGGTTTTGGATTATGTGCTGGGACAGAATGCTCCAGAGTGAGGGAAAGAGAGGAATCAAGGATGAGCTAGGATTTTGGCCTGAGTAATTGGACGGGTGGTGGTGTGATTTATTGAAGAAGTCTGAGGAAAGAGTGGGGATGGAGTGCATTCTGGCCGTGGTAAATTTGCAGTAGATGGAAGTCGTCCAAGTGACAGTGGCTGTGAGGCAGTTGGACCTACAAGCCAAAGTGTCAGGAGGAAATCAGAACTAGTGATAGAAATCTGGGAGCCATTGGCATATGGATCGTATTTCAAGTCACAGGACTGGTGTGACTGCTGTCCTAGACGAAGGAGAATTTTACATGGTGAAGAAAAAGTGGCCAAGGACGGAGTGTCGGGCAGAGCTCGGAGTGTTTCAGGAAGGAAGAGGTCAACTGTGTAGATGTTGCTAAGAGACCGGGAAAGAAAAAGCTAGTGGATTGGTTATTATTACTCATTACTTAAGCATTTTAGTCATTTGTCTGAGAAACAAAAATAGGATTTACAGATAGCATAGGACTTAATCAGACCTCTATTTTATTATCTCTAAAGTGGAACTAGAAATTCTGTGGGTGTTTAAGATGAGCTGGTTATTCTCTGTAAAGGTTCACGTTCTTCTGTCTGCAAGAAGGATATTCATGTCCATTAAGATTCTGAGATTTTTCAGAAGCTTTAAGCAGTTTCTGGTCCCGTAATACGGCTTTTAGCGGAAGATTTTGAATTTTTCTATTCCATATTTGAAATTTGCCCTGTTATATGCAGGTCACCAGGGATGTCGATCGTAGAGCCCAGGTTTGTCTTCAAAGATGTTTTAGTCAATCGATTTCTAGGACCCAGGGTAAACCATCTTTATAGATAGTCCTTCCTTTATTTAATAGCTTTCTATATTTAAAAGATAGCACCTTTTAGCTAAGAATATTCAGGTTATAAATGACTCAGCTACTGTTGTAAGTTTAATGTCTGTTTTAAAATAGGTTGTTAGCATTGAAATACCTGCTCTACTTCCATTGTCAATTTTGCCAATTCATTTCTCCTGCTTTGTTGTGTGAAGCTATCAGTCAGTTCTGTTGACTCCCTCTTCTTTTTTTTAATCCCCAGAGGTGACCAGTCCCGGAAGAGAGCTGGGGATGAGTTGGCTTATAGTAAGTAATGATGTTCCTTACCATCCTTGATGGTTTTGTGATGTAAGGCAGCCACTGGTTATAATGATATCCAGTGTTCTTGATGGTGGTCTCCAAGGGCACTGTGTGCAGTCAGGGTCAGACTGTTCTGTAAGCTGTGGCAGCTCTGAAGCCCAGTCGCTGGTGGCAGTTTTCAGGCAGTTGCCAGGAGGCTGCCAGTTCTTTAGGCTCCACTAGAATGAGATAAAGGGCCCAGACTCAGCTCCTGATGATTTGGTCCCCTTTCACTTCATTCAAAACCACATGGTTTTGAGGTTTTCTCTGGTCTCCTTTTGGGGGATTGGGAGAGGGGTGAGAAATATGTGTCAAATAAACAGATTCCTACCATTATCAAATGCTGTCGGCTGTTGATACTTTAACTCTTCTGATGTTTTTTTCAGACAGCTCATCAGCATGTGCAAGTTCCAGAGGGTACAGATAGTGAATGTATTGAATGTACTTTCCTTCCTGAAAAGAGGACACACTGGAGCTGCAGAGACTGTATTCAGAGCGCAGCGGGGTCCTGCAGACACTCAGGAGCTCTGTCACCAAGCTGTTCTTGGAAAAGGATGTTGGAGTTCTTACTTTGGTTTGTAATTTTAAAAAACAAAAAACTAACAAAAAACAAAACAGTTGCTGCTAGACTTGGGAATGATTTTGAAATGGGACAATCTTCTAATGACTTTATCTACAGATTCCGTGAGGAACAAGCGTCATGAAGAGTGACCATTGCTAAGTGAGATCCAGCAGCCAAAGTCAGCAGCTTCCTCCAAAAATATAAGAGCAGAAGAATCTTTTTTATTTTTTTTTTTAAAGCACTTGTTTTGTTCATTTGCGGACTTGGCACTTTGGCATATTGGTTTCATACAGAAAGATACCTTTTGCTTTAAAATCAAGCAGATCATTACAATACAGTATTTTTCACCCCTAACCAAAACAAACCCCTTTAAAAGAGTTGGTCTTTGTTTAGCATTAGAAAGTCTTCTTACAGGAAGATGCTAACTCTGCTTCCAATATAACTTCTCCCCCCCACCCCCGCCCGCACCATCAGTTCACAACTTTTCTACTCTGTGCCTTCAGCTTTGTGCACTTTGCAGCTCTGTGACCATGTTGTCAAACTCACAAATGCTTCCTGAAAAAGTTGATGGTATCACAGACTAACTTGCCAAGATGTCAGGTGTGACTTCATAGCAGGATGCTAAATAAGTGGGAAAATAGAAACATGTTGCACGTTGGTCAGATTTCCTCCTGCCTCACCGTGGCTTGTTCATGTTAATGTTGGGGACCAACTCTCGTAGACCATTTCCATTCCCTCCGTCACTTAACATGCTCTCACCGACTGCTGGAGTGTTGGCATTACGCTAGTTTAGGGCTGGCCGGTACTTTAGCACTAAAGCTCCCTTTTTAATATTGTTGAGAATTACCCAGTGGTAAAAGCTGATTCCTGTGATGCTCTACGAAGCAGATACGGTAATTAAATTCACACACAGTCAGTGGTGTGGGATTCCTGATCGATTTCATTTTTATGGGTGAGATAAGTACTTAAAAAAAGTTTGCAGGGGCTTCCCTGGTGGCACAGTGGTTGAGAGTCCGCCTGCCGATGCAGGGGACACGGGTTCAGGCCCCGGTCTGGGAGGATCCCACATGCTGCAGAGCGGCTGGGCCCGTGAGCCATGGCCGCTGAGCCTGCGCGTCCAGAGCGTGTGCTCCGCAACGGGAGAGGCCACAACAGTGAGAGGCCCGCGTACCGCAAAAAAAAAAAAAAAAAGCATTAAAAAGTTTGCAGTCTGCATCTTTTAAAACATCATATTCGAGTATAATAGAGAAAAAGTAGCACTGCTGTTTCAAGGCCCCCTTCCGGCTGTGGCCAAGCTATATTTTCTGTTTCCATACACCCACAGTGCTACTTAGTTCCTTGTAAAAGACTCTGAAGCTTATTCCAAGTTGTTTTTGAAAGGCAAAGTAAAATAGAAAGATGCGGCAAGGGAAAAACAGTTTTGCTTAAATCTAAATTGAGCATGTGCTTGACTCTCTTTGGCTGTGTCAGCTATGTTAGACTAATATTTACGTCTTCAGAGGACTAGGGGCAAAAAAAGGCACATCAGGGGTACCGACCATCACGCTTCTGATTTTCGGGTTGTTCGTAGAGTTGTCTCTGCCAATTCACTTGGTCCTTTTTGGGGGGAGCAGGCTGGGGGGCGAGTTTGAAGTGTTAGGAGCAATTCAGTCATCTAATAGAAGAAGTCCTCTGTTTGTAACATGAGTATTCAGAGAAGTAAAAGTAAGGTCATCAGATTTATTTTTTTAAGTACTTATCAACCAGGGTTGGTGGATTTTGAGGAGGGCTTTGAATTGGGCTCATTTCACTCTGTGAGCATCTTGGGTTATATTGAGAAACACTGAATTACTGTAAGAATATATACAGGCTCTCACTGTGCCCTGTACAGTTTGACTTGCTACACCAGTAACATTCTGATATCAAGGAAGAATTCAGTTTTATCAAGAAGTTCAAATTTTACTTTACTCAATGGAATGCTTGCTGCAGGCTTATAAATAACACCTGCAACTGAACTCTTGAGCGGTTTTAATAATATTTTTGAAAGGAGTGAAATTGGAATGTTTCTTTAAATGTGGATGAATTTTTCAGTATCCTAGTAATATACCCAAATGCTTTTTCCGGGAAGGGAGTATTCTTTGGCCAACAACGGAACTTTCCCTCTAAAAGCATTGTATTAGGATGTGGCTAGGCATTAAAATCTTTGGATGCTTTTTGCATTATTAAGTTAATGGAGAAATATTTTATATTGTCTTTTTATTATTACGTATGTGTTAACAAAGTGGGCAGAGTAAAGTTTGCAGAAGTTAGTTTCTCTGTACATTTTTGCGCAGTGGCTGCAGCTTGCTGTGGGTGAGGGCTTAGTGGCACAAAGCTGTGATTGGAAGGCACTGTAGAAAGAATATACACATTCTCCCAGTGCATTCGACCTGCTGCTTACTCATTTTGGCCCCTTGAGGTACATTGCAGTATGAAGAAACTATTCCTTTAAGTCATTGTTGACCTTGCTTATGTAATTGGGATTCTTAACAAAAGTCTTAGTTTGCAACATGAGGGGAATGAGATTTGCCTCCATTTAGTATTGACTAAGCACTGTTTGCCTAAAAGTATTTTCTTCTTGTGTTTACTTGTATTCTTCTTGCCAGTACAGTATATAGTTTCTGCACTCCAGTTAAACACTGGCTTTTTGTGGGGTCCAAATCATCGAAGGCAGAAAATTGTAAAGCAGGTTGATTGTCTCATGAGTCAACACATGCAGTTGGTTTGGCCATACTGACTAGTGTGTGTGTGTGCAGCCTGAAACCAGACGCTCCAAAGAAAGCCGATTCACTCACCTTGGAATGATGACACGTAACATCAGTACATGATCGTCGTTTTGAGAGACGGTGCTTATTTTAAAGGTTGGCGTTAAGCTTCAGTAACAGTGTCATCTCATATCCTCTGTTGTCACAGCTGCACCCTAACCCAACTGATTTGTTTTCTGTGGGGCAGAGAGCGAAACCTGGTGTTGTGATTCTTAATCTACTAGTTCTTAGGTAGAGTTAGTGAGAAGAAACAAAAACCTGGGTGCATTATTAAATTTTGTGGAAAAGTTACTTTTTTTTCCTGTCCCTTTTGCAAGTTTGAGGAGGTTCCCCTCCCTTTCTTTGGGGCATGGGATGAAAACCAATTTGTGAGTAAGTGAGATTGCGGAAGACTGGATGCCCCGTGGTTGTTAACACCGCACGTGCATCTCCAGCACTACAGCCCCATAAAGCTGTCACTCCCCGTGCTACATGCCATGCTTTCTGTCAGGCTGCAAATTTGCACACATAAAGAATTCCTCAGGAAGAGTTTGCACATGCATCACCTCACAATATTCTGTACTGACCGAACAAGGGATTTGAAAGTTTTGCAGCACAAAAGGAGAACTTCAGAGTGGTGGTCTGTGCACATGTAACTAGCAAAGGTAATGGTGATCTGACAAACACGATTGGTTTCTGGAGTGAACCAGAAGGTTGAACCAGATTGGTTAGAAAGTGAACAGGAGCGCTTGTATCATAGTATTTAAATAAGCCTGTTTAATCTCCCAGGGTAGCCCTTCCAGATTTTGTCATCTTCTCATTGAGACTAGCTCTGTTTTCTTTTATGTTTCTTCTGTTTTATTGCAGTTTATTATTTCCATGATTATTATGCAAGAGGCATTGCCCTTGAGCGAAAATTCAATTGTCTAAATAAAGCAGCTATTATTAGATAACATTGTTTTATGAATATACACTAATCTGAGATATTAAAAAAAACTTTACAATTAAAAAGCAAAACAGAACCTCTACATGAGCTATCCAGTCATTGTTTCGATGTTTTGGGTTTCTTTCTTTCTTTTTTTTTTTTTTTTTTTATGGTGTCTCTTTGAGCTTCAGAGTATTATGTTTACTTTAACCCAGGTTTAGGCCTCTTAAGGAGACTTGAAAATTTAAGATCGGAGTATGAATCCCTTGACTGACACCTAGAAGAGGTTTATAAGGACCTTTTTGGTTGTGATTGCTGTTTTCAATAAGATTGCATAAGTTGAAGTTCATGTTTATCAGAAGTTAAAATAGAGGTCATAGGAGTTTGTGGAGAAATGGCTTTCCTGTTATTTTCATTACCTTGTTGAAATTTGCCCGTTTCTGGCCACCAGGATATATGAAAGGACCCTTGTTCTTTCCAAAGGAAAGGATTGCTCTTCTGTCCCCACTGTTTATTAACCAAGTCATTGACACTTTGCCACCTCCACTGGCCAAGACCCTATTTTGAACCTCTTTCCAGAGCTAAGTGGCACAAGTACATATACTGTTTCTACTTATGTTGGTGGAGTGGCTGTGGGAGAATTAAAGAAAATGCTAGTCAGAGGTGCATTCTTCTAGGACCCTAGTATATATTGTACCCCTGCTGATTGGAAATTATCTTCATTTCTGGTTGGATTGCATTGTTTAGAAATGCAATGTTAATGGCTTACAATTCTGGAAAATTTATGGTGTGGCTCTGGGGTGAATTCTGTGGTTTGAAAAAAATATATATTTTGTATTGATTCTCACATGTCATTTCAATGTTATGACCACGTACTAAATGCAGTAAGACTGGATATTTTCTTAGAAGGGTATGTTTTGTTAAACAGATGGCAATTGAATTGCTCTCATTAGTCCTGTTTGTCAATATTACAGCTGTGCAATTCAGACGTGATGTGGGGAGCTGTGGCCGGAGACAGGAATGCTTAAGGATAAACGGGAGGCCAAATGCAGACACGAGGCTTTTGCCACCCACCAGCATAGCCAGAGCAAGGATGAAGCAATGAAGTCTAGTCTCTGGTGGTCCTTGTTTGTCGGAAAGCATAGTGGAGCTTAGAACAGGGTGTTCTGTACGTCAACTCTATTATTAATCCAAGAAAAACAAAGTGGTGGATGAAACTCCTACTGACCGGGGATTCAAAGCCACTGACTTTGGCTCTGACCTTTAACTCTTGATGGATTTTGGATCACTCCTTCTGTATTAGGGTGCATACCATCACTCTAAAACATTGTGGTTAATGAAATAAATCTTGTACAGATGTCCTTGGCCTTGTTATGTTGCTACCTGGTTTATTAGAACTTTGTTTTAATATAGAATATATGGTTTTGCTTACAGTACATTCATGATGCCTCATAAACGATAATGACACTCAGTATTCTACCATGGTCATTTAGCCCTCAGGATGAGTGTCCATCTTCACCTCTGTACCAGTGATAAAAAAAAAACTGTGTGTGTGTGTGTGTGTGTGATGATGATGATGATCAATGATGACCAAATTGGATTTATCTCAGGAATGCAGATTTGTTAATGTTAGGAAATCAATTAATATGACTCATCTATTAACAGATTAATGTTGTATGATCAGATTATCTATGAAAATCCAAAATATCTACAAGGCAAATTAGAAGACTTATGAGTTTATCAAGGTTGCTGGAACAAAATCAATATCCAAATGTTAATTACATTTTCATGCAGCAGCCACAAGTAATAATGGCTTTACATACTTTAAATGTTATTAAATAGAATTTACAGTAGGAACGAAAAAGTCATAAAGTACCTAAAAATCTTAATAAAATGTATATAAGCCTTTTAATGAGAAAATGATAATTTTTAAAAAGCACCTTTGTTGACCTAAATAAATGGGGAGACTGTGATGGGTAAGAAGATCATCTAGGTCTCAACTCTTTCTCCAAATTTTTTAATAGATTAAAGTAATTCCAGCAAAAAATCCCAATGGTACTTGACAAACTGATCCTAACATATAAATGGAAGAGTAAAGGACCAAGGATATCCAAGATATTCCTAAAAAAGGTGAAGTGTGAGGGGAGCTAGCACTACCAGAGTATAAAATTTACTGTAAAATACTGTGAGTGATTAAAACACTGTGGAGTTGGCACAGAGGTTGTAA